CTTGTTTAATATAAGGGCAAAGATTATTGTTTAAAGTCGTCTCATTAAATATTATACGCTTAAACGATAAGTCCAAGGAATATGTGATTAGGAGAATGTGATTTAAAGAAATTAGATTCATGAGACCATTCTATTCTATACACATATTCTAAACGTTCCTAACCATAGGATTGCCAAGTAGAAATTGCAAATTAGCTTAGATCAGTACATGCTATGTCTCTATCCCAGGAGAGTGGCTGGTTTGGAGTCATTGGTGTGATTGACACCAAGACAAGTATAGGTGCTTAGTAGAGAATGAGTCCATTGAATGCGATCAACAAGGAGTTCTCATACTCATGCAGATAAGAACTCATGGTTGGGATAATGAAAAGTAGTCCTTTGATCGTCAGACATCATAATTATCTCATGGTTAAGCCCTTAGTCTTTGACTACACTAACGGTATTCCATTTGAAGATGTCCATGACATATTTGGGGCTAAGCTACTTTATCATGGGGGCATGTGAATGTGAAATAAGGGATCTCTAACTTTCAAACCATTCAGGGAGAATACTTTATGATATGATTAAGAATCCCTAGCCTATTTTATGAATGAGATTAAGGAAGTTGTTCCAAATCCCAGTCAAGGTAATCATGTAGAAAAGAGAATCACGTTTGATAGTAGACATGAATAAACTATCAAACCAAACAATGTGATCAAGAGTATTGAATTATAGAAAGATCATATTCCATTTGTAATCCCAACTGAATGGGTTCTCCCAACCTCTTTTGATTAGCTTGGGTAGCCATGACATAATGCTAAGTGTCACTCATGGCTTATGGGAGCCCTAAAGATGTATAATCACTAAAGGGAGACATTAAAGTAAGTTTCAATTCACAATCGATTAGTAAGAGTTCTAATCGTCCACTACCTCGGTAAATGGAACCTAATGGATCGCACACCGTGTAAGGTAATGATTCAAGGATATAACAAAGATAAGTAAGGACAATTACATAGTTTAATTGCATATGGAAAGAATTAATTAATTAATATGTTAATTAATTTGTACGATAGGTTGGTATTGGGCCTTATGTTAGTTTTGGGTTTCGGGGCCCAAAATGGTTTTGGTTCACAAGGCCTATTAAGTTTAAGTTGTGTAACAACTAAAACAAAATGGGCAATTAGCACACTAAGCATAGGGAGGCTGGCCACTGAGAAAAGGGATGTTTTTGGTAGACTTATTACAAGCTTGCCACTGATTTGGAATGACTATAAAAACAACTTTAGAGCTTCATCCCTCATGAGGGTTTTTTTTTGTTTGAAAAAAATGAGAGAACATTTGCTCTCTCCTTCTCTCTAGGAGGCCAGCCACATATAAGGGATTTGGATAGCAATCTTCTTCCTCATATGTCACTCCTCTTCATCCATAATCATCTTTGGTATCGAAAGTTAGATGTCTCCTATTTTAGAGACTTTTGGAGAATCTCTCAAGCATTCAAATCCAAGAATCCAAGGAGGCAAATACATGAAGATGATGGCCATGAAGTTCAACTCAAGGAGAGGAATGAAGGTTTCTCGTGGGTTACTAGTCTTTGCTCATGCAAAGAGGAACTTCAAAGGTATAAAGCTTCTCAACTCTTTTGTGGTATGAGTTAAGTCATGGTTCGCCACCACTACTAGGGTTTGGATTTCATTGTTTAAGTTTTGTTTTAAAGTGCATAAAAGCATGCTTCTGCCATTTAATTGTTAAATGCATGCAATATGTTGCTTAATTAACTTAGTTGATCAAATAATTTCCTTCAAACACACATGCCAAAAGCACGGGGAAGACCTTGTGACATTTGTTAAGCGTTTTCAGGATCTTGCCCTTGATTGCTATGACGAGAAGGATGATGAGGCACTTGTAAAGATTTGTATTAGCAACATTGTCGCTAATTACATGGTGTACTTGGAGAACATTGGTATTAACCAGTTCTCAAGGCTCCTAGAAGCCAAGAGGAAGATCAGCATGTCAGTCAAACTTTCCACAAAGAGATCCAGGAAAAGTGACATGAAAGAAACTCATCAAGCGCTAGCCGTGGATGACAAATTCGACTACAACCTACAAATAAGGAAGGAAACAGATGGAGATAAGGAAACCTATCCCCTGCTAGCATGTAGTGAAGAAGAGTTCCAAGCGATCCTTGATACCAAGTTGGAAGATGGAGCTATCAAGCCAACCAGGCTTTAAGAAGCATTACAGCGATGGTGGAGCCGGAGAAGGATTAAAGCAATGTCAGAGGTCACGTCGCTCGAGCACAGACAAGATCCGGTCCGTGGTTCGTTCCTGGGAGAGGGAGTCGGACTCCGTGTGGATCTGAGTCGGGGGACGATTGGGGAGAGTATGGTGTGGTCTGACAAAACGACGGCGTAGTGCACGGGGCTATGGGAGTAGTCTAACAAATCGAGCTTGTCGATAATTTGGCCATGGTTTACCAATGCAGAGGGAGTTGAGTGTGTTCAGTGTGGGCTACAGTTTACCTGCGCAGGGTGAGTTGGCCATGGTTTACCTGCAAAGGAGATGAGGAAGAAGAAGAGAGAAAAAAAAATCCACGTGAACCCCTCTGAAGAAAAGAAAGAAGAAGAAGAAGAAGAAGAAGAAGAAAAAAAAGAAAAAATTCCACGTGGACCCCTTATTGACACATGGCGCCTAATCATTGTCCACATGGGCGCCACATCATCACTTAAAAGGAGAATTAACAGTTTGACTAACGGATGTATGAGACTGTCCCAAAATTTACACTTTAGGTATGACTTTGGGACGAAAAAAATTTGATGTACTACCACGAAACATGAAGGTAGTAAATTGATAATTACCCATTAATTTATATCCATCAAGGAGGCAAAATCATATTTGAGAACACAGGTTACAAGTTTATATTATTATATCTTCCAATAACATTTGAACTTTGAAAGTTTATAGCTAATTATGTATTGGTTGAAATTTTAAACGCCCACGCATAGATAAAATTTAGGCTTAAATGTTAAAATGGTCCTTGTGTTTTAGCCATTGGGTCAATTTAGTGCCTATGTTTTTTATTTGACCAATCTGGTCTTTGTGTTTATCTCTGTTAGCCAATTAAGAATATTCTCCCTCCCTCTTACGAATATGCTCTCTCTCTTTTAGTGTGGATAATATTATTTGTTCAAAAAACAAATTGTAAAAAAAATAATAAATAATTACAAACTTATTTATAAAATTATATTTTTTTTATATTTAAAATGAAATAAATTAAAAATTAAAGAAAACTTATTCTCCTCTCAACTCTCCCACCTCCTCCCTAACATTAACCCCTCTCTTTCTATGTCACAACCATAATCATTTTTCAGATTGGAAGTTTAATTTCTTATATGTGTTATTTCTCATTGATTTGCATTTTTTTTTTGGAAAGAGAAAGGGTAATTATTTCTCATATGAATTTTCTTATGAATTTTTTAAAGAGATTGAATGAAATGTCCTTAATTAGCTAATAGAGACAAACATGAAAACTAAATTAGCCAAATCGAAAACACGGAGACTAAATTGGCCATATGACTATAACACAGGGACCATTTTGACATTTAAGCCTAGCATTTAGTTGAAAATCATAGTGGAATGCAAAACCCCGAGCAACCTTTATTAATTGTATAATGAACAAACACTACAAGATTACCAAAAAAATGCAACGTAACTCGTAGATACTACATCTTGACTGAATCAAACTTAACTGAAATAAATATAACATCCTATTTATAGATAACTGACTCTAATTCCTAATAGGAGAACTAACTCTAACCCTAATTCTAATGAGTTAGACCCAAAATCCAAGCATTAAAATAAACCTACATACTATTATTTTTCAACAAATTATGGGTCTATCACTGGGTGAGATATGTGCATTCTCCATATGCGGATGGATTATCCAACAAGAAGTACTCTCCAATATTGAAGGTGTAGATGGAATGCAATACTCAAAGGCATACAAGTGATTATATGTAAAATTTGTTTTCATAAGTTACTTGTTTCTGTGGTTTCCTGTTGCACATTTCATGAAAATGTTGTTTAACCCTAACCACCAAAATGCAGCAGCTTTTGTGAGTTTCTAATAATTGGATCTTCAGGAATAGCAATATAAGCATGACATACATCTATATTTTTCAGTAATTATAAAGTGTAGAAATAATCCTTCATAACAAATGAATGATAACGGCAGGCAAGCCCCTTTTTTCAAATTATATTATTACGGAGAGATGGAATGAGATGAAAAATGTTTAAAACTATTACAATAATTTAAGAGAGAAAGAGTTTCGCATCCGGGACACATAGGTGGATACTCAAAACCTTATCTAATAGAATATTGGACGACAGACACACCATTTATCTCTCCGTACATATTAATTATACATGTTGTTTTTGTTTGATGTTCGGCTTTTTATTGAACAAACGATACGATCTACATTAAAAGGGTGGGTTAGTGTGCTAAACCTTACAATGGGCTAGCCATAATAATAGTTTAAATTCGTCTTTGATGAGAATTGAACCTAAGATTTCTCACACTGAAATACTCAATCGTATTAACGTAAGTGCAAACAATGATGGGGTGGGTTAGGTGCCAACTTATATCACTAGACAATGGCCTCCAACCGTTCCCGTGAACTTATTTGCATCACCATTAATATGTCTACCCACTCCATCCCACACACACCCAACTCCTTTACTCTTCAAAATTGACTCTCTTTAATGCTACAGCCTGTAACACAATCACTCAATGACCTTGCCTGGGTATTTCTCCACCTACGTTTTCAAAATTTATACCGAATTTGAAAGACAATTAAACATTCTCCATTTTTACATTTACCATGAGTGGGTAAATAGCTACATTATTCATATTTTGAGATTGATTAGTTTCAGTAATGACGGTGTATTGATCATGTATCGACAACATAACGATAATATAACAATTACAAATAATAATATAACATCGATATAATAAACACTGATCATTCTGTAACAAAATTTGATTGTTGTGGCTAATTGCCCTTACTTAAATGAAAGGAAATCAACAATTTGCTCATCTATTTAATTTAAAAATACATATATGCATGTAATAGGCATTGGCAATAGCCAAAATTGCTCTATTCCGCATCTAAGTTCGAATGTGCCTCCAGTTACATATACTATGAGAGGAAGCAATCAAAGATTATAATTTGTCTAGAGATAAATCAAAATCAAATAAATTAAATAATAAAAACCTACTTAAACACTAGGATCAAGTGATGAATGAACAACTTTGTTCTGTTGTCTTCCCATAAGCCAAAGGAGCGTTCTCCTAGTAAAAGATGGTGGATTTGCTTGTGAATCCAAACTGTTACAGCTAACATTCTCCTCATCACAACCCATTTCACTCCCTCCATTTTCCCACCTCCTTATGTCAATCTCTGAGATTATCCTCCGACTCTCAGTCCCAACATTCTTGCCCTTCACTTCCTCCCCTGCAACCATAGCACTCCGATGCACCGGAAACCGGAAAGAAAAGGCCCTTCTTGACGAATACGACGCCCCATTTGGCTTCTCCTTCTTCCCCCTAAGCCAAATCTTCGATATCGAGAAGCTCTCCCTCTTGCTCCACTCAATGCCATTACTGCCACTGCCATTAGTAATACTAGCACTAGTGCTAGTCACTTGAGTTTCAAGGCTTCCGATTGCTTCAATGCCACTGAACTTGAACTCTCTCGTTGACTCACAATCGCATTCCGACATTGCTTGCCTGTGACCTGGAGCCAACGGCAGAGTAGGCTTCTTGGTCGACTGCTTTTTCATCGATGCTCCAATCGCTACTTGCAGTTCAGATTTTTCATCCAACACATACGCAAATGATCCCATAGAAAAGCACCTCCTTGCATCCGCATTGCTTTCACTACTCCCCTCACCACCCCCATCCACATTTCTGAACTTCCCTAGCTTCACGGGCACTACCTTCTCCCCCAAATCCACGGTTACCGCCGGGTTAGCCTCATCTTTCGCCACAATTTCGCAAGATTTGTTCGACACATCGGCGCGGGGCTGCCCCAATTCCATGTCTCCATGAAAACCCAGATGGGAATTGTGTCCATCTCTATCAGAGATCATCTCTCTGGAGCTGTCACTCCCAGACTCAAGAACAAAAACACTGGGTGAGCAGCTATTGTTGGAAGAGAAGTCAGGGAGCAAAGTAGCTCTACAGAGAGGGCAAGTGGAGTGAGACAAGAGCCAAGTGTCAATGCAGTCCACGTGGAAGGCATGGCTGCATTTGGGCAGCAATCTGAGCTTATCCTCACCCTCAAACTCACACAAACAGACAGCACAATCAAAAGGGTTTTTCAATCCAATGATGGCTTTGTAGTGGAAGACAGGGAGGGTGTCGATGAAGGACTGGTCAACCCCTGCATCATGGAGGTGGAACAGTTGCTGCAGTTGGCCTTGAAGAACTGTCACACTCTCCAAGTCCTCTGAATCTCTGGCAGGAGGCCTCATGAGGAATCTAACAAGGAGGTGGAGCAGCCCAGAAACAAAGAAAATTATGGCTAAAATTACGATTATTAGCAGTATGCTTGGACTGACCTTGTTCCCAAAACTCAAATTATCTGACTGGAGATTTGGAGGTGGGGGAGGAAGCTGAGGAACAATGTTTGGTGGGAATGTGGGAAATGCAGAAACCCCATTTTCTTTGATTTCAAGGAGCTTCCACATCCACACCATTTTTTGTTTTTGTTTTTGTTTTTCAAGAACAAAAGAATGGGTTTGGAAAAATGAACTTACCAAGATTGCAGCTTTGAGCTTAAGGCAGCTAACCAAAGAACCCCATCTGGTATGCAAAGCTGCAAGTCAGTCCAACTCCAAAACTCCCAAATCCCAGAAAGTTGTTGAGGCTTGGTGTCATGTGCTTGCGTTGGATTGTAAACAAGGTTTCTGATTAAGACTGTCAGTCAATGGAGTACCTTACCCGCAATTTTGTTTTTACAGTAGGAAGAGAGGAACTTGCAAATAGAAATTTTTCTAGCGAGAGACGAGAGAGAGAGAGAGAGAGAGGAAATATTGAATGTGAGAGATGGAAATAAATGGTGACACAGGTGACATTGGAAAAGCCAATAAATCTATTAACCTGCAAAATTATAAAATGGCACATTGACTGGACTAGCTTAAATTTAATTTAAAATTTTGAGAACATGAGGTCATGCTCTTCATCAAATGCAAGCCTCTTTTTCTTATACTTGTTCTGGTTGACTTCAAAGCAAACCTGCATCAACCCCAATGCAACTTACCTAAAAATATTGCTAAAACTCTTCAACGCTGCATCGGGTAGTTTATAAAAGGTTTAATTTTAGTTTCGATTTTAATATCATTTTGTTTTCTGTAATACAAAATGTATCACTTTATTTTTTGAAACTAAAAATTCGTTTAACTTTGACATTTGAAACTCAATTTTAATCTTATTTTACTTTCTGAAATTCAAAAGTGATCTATGTAAATCTCAAAACTCACTCCATATTACCTTAAATCTGTTAATTTCTTATGTAGTTTTGATTTGAATGCATAAGGTAATGAATTTGTTTTTTATTCTTTTCATTTCTTCAATTTCTTTTAAATTTAATATTTTCTAATTGTTGAATGTTAATGTATAATAGAAATTTATAACTAAATTTATTGTATATATGCCGTAATTGTTTGAGTGTTAAGTCTGACATATGTTTCATGAGGCAACTTATGAATACCTGGAAGAAGAGAGAGTACATAAGTTAAAATGAAACAAATTTTGAGTTTCATTGAGTAAAATGATGACTTTGAAGTTACATGAAGTAAAATGAAATCAAAATTAAATTCCAAATTACGTAGTTAAAAATAATACTATTTAATAACCTTTGTTACTTCTGATCACATTCTTTCCATTTTCTTCTATTCTATATCCAGCGTCTCTCCTATCTGAAGACTGTAAGTTTGTAATCCATTCAATATGGATCACTTTTTTTTCTGGGTAAAGGACAAGAAAGATACGGTGATAAAAGTCAAAAGATCAAAAGAGAGAGAGAGAGAGAGAGAGAGACAATGACAAATAGTAGTTACGTACTTAGAAATACTACAAGGGGGAGCGTCGGATTTTGTGAACTTTTGTGATGTAGACGGAGTGGAGAGTTCTATGATGGACCCCCAAAGGCCAAAGCAAATGCTCCATCCTCACGGATCATGACGCTATTTATTGTAGCGATTAGTTTTTATTAAATATTATTTATATTTAATTTTACATAAAAATTTAAAATCATTTCTAATCAAACGGTGTACAATAAACAAATAAAATGTGAGTATTCTTAAAATCCTAATAAAGAAGATCCAAATTGGATACAAATCCCATCCTCACCTCTCGTCAGCAAAGAAATACCAAAAACAATAGAAAAGTTGAGGGCTTGTTTGGTATCGTATTTGAAATTTTTTTATAATTTCTCAAAACATTTCTTAAGAATTTTTTCTTGAAAACAATTTTCTTTAAGGCTCAAAAACTTGTTTGGTGTGCAATTTAAAGTTTTGAATCTTACAACTTAAACTGGACAAAGAGATTTGTTGATGCACAAAACCAGAGGGGTCTTGGAACAATGTAAATCCAACTGTGAATCTGCAAGAAAGTAAATAACACAAGATGTATCGTGGTTCATCCCAAGTATTTTTCATGAGGCCCAGTTGAGGCCCAATATATGGTACATAATGTAGTCCCCCAAGTCTTCGGTTAATAAAGTCTGTTGGCTGGAGACTTCAAATTGAATCCATGTATGGGCCGAAGTGGCGGTTGTTCAGAGGCAGTATTTGTATACCCTGCTCTGAAGCTTTGTAGGTGAAGCTTTGCAAGTGAAGCTTTTGAAGCTGGAGCTTTGTAAATGAAGCTTTTGAAGCTGGAGCTTTCGAAGTTGGAGCTCTGTAAATGAAGCTTTTGAAGCTAGAGCTTTGTAAATGAAGCTTTTGAAGCTAGAGCTCTGTAAATGAAGCTTTTGAAGCTAGAGCTTTTGTAAAAGCTTTTGTAAATAAAGCTTTTAAAGCTGGAGCTTTTGTAAATGAAGCTTTTGAAGCTAGAGCTCTGTAAATGAAGCTTTTGAAGCTAGAGCTCTGTAAATGAAGCTTTTGAAGCTAGAGCTTTCGTAAATGAAGCCCTCTCAAACTCTCTCAAACTATGGGGGACTACACTATGTACAAAAAAGTAAATAACACAAGATGTATCGTGGTTCACCCCAATGTTGATGCATAAAACCGGAGGGGTCTTGGAACAACGTAAATCCGACCGTGAATTTGCAAGAAACTAAATAACACAAGATGTATCATGGTTCACCCCAATGTTTGGGCTACGTCCACACTGATATTGTATTTCTCTGTTTGTGAGAGGATTGTGAGGGAGAGAGAGAGAGCCTCTGTAATGAGAGTGAGGCTTTGAAAGGGTGAGGAGGCTTAAGAATTGGCCTCCCCTAATGAGGAGAATGAGGGGTCCTTTTATAGAATAAGGGCTCCTCACTTGTTACATATTTGCCCCTTCATTTATTACATAATTACATTTGAGTATGGTACAAACAGTAGTCCCCCAAGTCTTCAGTCAAAAGAGTCTTTTGGCTGGAGACTTGAAATTCAATCCATGTGTGGGCCAAAGTAACTAGATGTCGTCTAAAACTGATACTCGATATGAGGCGGTGCCCAATCTGAAATGATGCTCAACCAGAAGTAGCACATGTTGCGAGGCTGCTCTGCTTGTGGCTTATGTTGCCTTGGTTAGCTCAGCTTGTGGCTTTTGAAGGTGAGGAAATCCTTTTTATAAAATAAGGGCTCGCTCTTCAATACATAAATGATGGGCTAGAGTTGATGCTCGCGGTGAGGCGGTTGCTCAGTAGGCGGCGATGCTCTCTAATGATGGTGATGGAGTCCTTTTTATAGAATAAGGGCTCGCTCCTCAATACATAAGTGATGGGCTAGAGTTGATGCTCGCGGCGAGGCGATTGCTTAGTATGCGGCGATGCTCTCTAATAATGGTGAGGGAGTCCCTTTTATAAAATAAGGGCTCGCTCCTTAGTACATGAAGAATGGATGCCTTCTAATGAAAGTGAGGGAGTCCCTTTTATAGAATAAGGGCTCGTTCCTCACTACATAAATAATGGGCTAAGTCCCCCAAGTATTTTTCATGAGTGCTCTCTAATGAAAGTGAGGGAGTCTCTTTTATAAAATAAGGGCTCACTCCTCAATACATAAGTGATGGGCTAAGTCCCCCAAGTATTTTTCATGAGGCCCAGTTGAGGCCGAATATATGGTACATATGTAGTCCCTCAAGTCTTCGGTCAATAGAATATGTTGGCTGGAGACTTCAAATTGAATCCATGTATGGACCGAAGCAGCGATTGTTCGGAGGCTGTATTTGTATACCCTGCACTGAAACTTCGTAGGTGAAACTTTGCAAGTGAAGCTTTTGAAGTTGGAGCTTTGTAAATGAAGCTTTTGAAGCTAGAGCTTTCAAAGCTGGAGCTTTGTAAATGAAGCTTTCGAAGCTGATTGTCATGAGTGATGCTCATGAATGTTTATGTTGATTGACATGAGTGATGCTCATGGATGTTTGACATGAGTGATGCTCATGAATGTTGACATGAGTGATGCACATGAATGTTGAAATGAGTGATGCTCATGAATGTCGACATGAATGATGGTCATGAATGTTTATGTATGATTGACATGAGTGATGCTTATGAATGTTTATGTATGATTGACATGAGTGATGCTCATGTATAATTTTGAAGTATTGGACGTACTTTTGATCACCTGGTTGGTGATAATAGCCGCAGGCTGCCGAATAATTTTGGAGTACTGGGCGTACTTTTGATTACCTGGTTGGTGGTAATAGCGGCAGGCTGCCGAATAATTTTTTGTAGCACTAGACGTACTTTTGATCATCTAGTTGGTGATAATCGATGCCTAACTCTTTTGGGCATATGGGCTTTCACCCTCCACATAGCATTTCAGCCCATTATTTTGGGCTTGCCCTTTTTTTTTTTATTTATTATTTTTTATTATTACCGTCTGATGGGGTTTATACAGATGTCTCCGAAAGATAAGAAAAATAAATCACATCATTCAAAAATAAATCTGACCCTCTGCTCAATGGGTCACGCCTATAATTCCCTTTTTCTTGATGCCATCACCACCGCAATTATGTCTTTTTCTTTTTCTATTCTTTTCCTCCTCCTTTTTCTTTTTATTTAACATCATGGTGTCGTTTGTGAAGAGTGGGAACATGCATGATGAAAGTTGGTGGGCATCTTCTGCGCTGTCATCGTGCCAAGTTGATTCCTTTAATGAACTCGGAGCTTGGGCTGCTGTGCATTAATGGGTAGCTATGCTTTCTGCTTTTTCTCTTTTTGCTTTCTGCAATTATCTCCGACCCAAAAGTTGATGCACAGAATAGAATCCTAACTCAACATCAAGCAGGTAAGCTTGAACATCCGAGTGACCAAAAGGGTCAATTTGCCAGCCGATTCGAGGAACCTGACCAAATTCTTTCAGAATAAATTGATGGCCTAAAATTGTCTGATCAATCAAGTCCACATGGTGAACAAAAACTCTAGATTGAATGGTGCAGGCCTCTTGTGGATCCTACTAGAAATGTCGTAGTGCGAACCATGGCATGGGCAGAACCAGCCACCAAAATCACCAGCATTCGGCAAGGGGATGCACTCTAAGTGAGTGCAGACTCCGACAACTATAGGCCATTATGGATTTGTAACCTTCTCTGCATCCTATTGGGGATCACGAAGGGACTGAATGTCTACACTGTTAGCTAACTTGATGTCATATTCAGTTCTACGCCTAATGAAAACAGGCTTCCCTCTCCACTTCACAGTAACAGTAGTACCAGGCTCAATGTTGGACAGGTGAACCTCAAGGGAAGCAAGGGCAAAAACATCTTTACTAGCAGACATGCTCAGTACAAACTTGAGGATGAGAAGCCGAATCAAGGAGGCATACACGAATCTGCCTCCTGTCAAGATGAAAAAAGCAAATGCACGCTTGCTGAGGTCACCAAGTGGATACCTTTCATGGTTGTACTCATCGTACATAATTTTTGAAGAAGGATTCTTCATAGCTGACATAGTAGTTGGG